TCAGAAAAATTCACCAGCTTGGGTTTTCTTGAGTCTCCTGTGTGCACTGACACAGCCTTGTCCAAGCACGGGCTTGTCACAACAGGGAGCACAGCCTTGTGCTCTCAGAGCGGCAGGCCCTTTCTGTTCACCTGCTAATGAATTTGTCACTTTAACATCTGTGCCCCTGGGCATGACTGTGGCTCCTCACATCAAATTAAGTGAGCTGCCTTCAACTGGGTAGCTTTGCTGCAAGTCCTCATCCACACGCTTCAAACTGAGTGTTGGGAGGTGGGGGAGGAGGAACTGAGACACTACAGGCAAGAGCACCTCCACCAGTCCCCGAGATTTGCAGTGTTTCAGCCGTGAGCACCTCTCCAGTTGCTGTATGCCTGTGGTCATTTCCACAGGGGTGAGGTGGTTGGTTTTGTCCATTTCGCAAAGTTGTTAGGTGCTTTGCAGGGAGAAGTTTTATTAAACTCCTCACTTTAAAAACATGCAAAAATACATATATAAAATATACAAATATATTTCTTGCTAAATAAAGCTAAATCTTTAGTTAACACATAACTACATATTATTTAAATAATTTAAAAGAGAATACGTGTCATTATGTTTTAATTAAGGGTTTAGCACTAACTAGCACTCCAAAATAATTCTGGACACATCAACTCAGAATTATTGCTATTTTAATTGCCATAGACCACCTTCCTTAGACTTCTCCCAAACTGAGAACAAGCAGCTCAACCACTGCCCGCCTCTGTGATTGACAGCACGTTGATAGCCTGGGGAGTAAGGCCCTCCAACCCCTGGACCTCTGCCTGTTTATTTTACCACAAATTTAACCTGAAAGGTGCCACATTTATTTGGTTAAGATGGGGGACTTAATCTTTTCTTATGATTCTCAGCCATTCTTTCTCCTCTACCAAATTTGTTCTTGTCTATAATCCAGGCAGATTTTCTAATGAGAAAAAAAAATTCTTTAAAGTCTATTTCTGATAAGATTCCAGCCCAAGTTGAGGCTGCTGCTGTGTTTCTGTGTGAATTGATTTCTTCCCTAATCTGCTACCTTGGCCTTCACACAGATCTCTTTTTCTTATTTCCCTTCCCTGATCATGAAAATAATGAATGCTTCTTATACAAAGGCAGAAAGAAGAGAAGTTAAAATCCCCCATCCTTCAGACTATTTGTAACAGATGAGTTTGTTCGCATCCAGTTGTGGATTATGTGTGTGTAACTTCATACCACTATGGCCAGACTGCCACTATTATTTATATCCCACTTCAAAAAGTATAATTTAAACATTATAAAGTCAATTCAAGTTTATGATAGACATTGGAGTATGCATAAGATTTGTAAAACTGGTGTGGTTATTTTCATTTGCATGTACTTGTTTTTTATTTTATCAAATGTGATGTAGGACTTGGGGCTCCCGTTCCTGTGGGGAAGGAATCACGGCATCTCCATTCTGCCATGCTAATAGGTTCACAGGCATAAGTCTTGGGTCACCCTGTTTACACTGAGGAAATACAACCAAAAGGGACCAGCATCTGAAAATCGAATATCTTGGAAAAGCATGAACCCTGGTGGGAAGTCAGGAATCACCTCAAAGCTGCAAGATGTCCTCTGCCCCTCAGAACAGTGTCAGGGAGTGGACTCAGCCATCCTGGGCGTTAGACTCCCAACTCACACAGTAGCTAATGAACTCAGTATCAAATGCAGGGAGCCCCCCCCCCCGCCCCCATCCTGCAGAGTGTGTTTGATTGCAATCTTATGGGTGTGAAGACCGATATTTTGTTTCCATTAGTCTTGCGGCCTTTTGAAATTGAACAAAGGTGGTTGTGGTTTAACTGCCCCTGTTTTCTCTCTTTTCTTTCTGACACCCTAGCCACGCCTGCACAACCCCAACCAGTAGGGGCCAGCTTGACTTTGAGCATTTCCACGAATTAACCACATTCAACAGAACAGGCAAACAAAGGAAGCCTGAGAAAATAAAACACCACCAGCCACACCAGCACCCCCCTGCTACCCACTCTGTGCCCCCCCACCTCTGCCCTCCCCCCTCACTGCCCAAGTTCAGGGCAGCCCAGGCTGACTAAGGGAAGGAAGGTGCTGAGAAGTCTGAGACCACAAGAAAAGTTGCCTGTTGCCCGCCAGTGATTCCCCACCCCCGAATTCTTAGGGGTCACGTTTCCTCCCTTTGCTTCTGTGCCTTCCCACTGCAGAAATCCACATGCCTGACTAGGGGCTGGGTATTTGCCCTAAAGAGGTCTGAGCAACTCATGAGAGTCAGGAGTAAATCTAAATCATATGTAATCTTTCTTAAGGCTGATAGGTCTTACTGTTATGATCAAATAAGAAATTCTGCCTGGTTTCCCAAAGTGCATGTTTACAGAGACTTAAGCTTATTGTAAATGAACATAAAGGACCTTCCCAATGCTAAATGAGAGCTTGTTTTAATTATAATATATACAACGTTTTTTAATTTTAAAAGTATTTATTAGAGAATATAGAAAAAGGCATAATCACCTATTTTTTCATCCACCTATTATGTATTCAGTATTTTGTTGTTTTCTTTTCAGAAATACACAAACACATACACAAATGAGTGTCATGCTTGCACTATTATTCAGTAGAAAAAACAGTCAAAGGACATGAACAAATAATTCACAGGAAAATAAATATAAAATTTAAAATGTAAATGTTATAAAAAATGCAGAAATTAAGAGCAGAGTTGCTAAGGGTCATGTCCCTGCCCTGTTTCTTCACATCTGTGGGAAGTTCCTCAGCCCTCTCTGCCTCAGTTTCCCCATCTATAGGACAGAGATAGTTGTGTGCATCTCACAGGGTTCTTGTGAGAATTAAATGACTTAACAGATACTTAGACCAGTACCTTATACACAGTGAGCACAACACAAGTGACTATTATTACTACTTCATTGCTAATGACACTGAATTTGTACCTTTGAGTATAAAAGTGAAATCATTACATTGGAATATGTTCTTTTAAACATGGATAAACTCAGTTCATGTAGGATGTTGAGAACAAAGGGGGCAGTTAGGGACACACCGGGCAGCCTGGCTGTAACTCACTGTGAAGTGTGACCACTGGTCCACTCTTCCTCCTGCCACACCACATGGCCTCCCTGTATGTGGCCTTTGTGTGGGGCTGGGAAAGTACTGGGTCTGGAAGGAATAACCTACGCCTCCCTCAGAAATGCTCCTGGGCACTCCAGAGTCTCCCCCAAGTTGACTCAGAGCACCTCCAGGCCCCTATATTCTGTGCAAGGGGCTGGGGTGTCAGAAGGCTCCACATCTCCAGTGGGCACCCTCAGCGCCCTGATTAATGAGTATTAATAGATGAGTGCACATATCCTTAAGGAAATTCTCCCTGAATCCTTGGAGGATGCCTTTGGCAAAGAACCAGGGCATGTATTGCTTTGTTTTTCCCAACTGAAAGTGGGTGAAGGGAATGACACAGGATACTGTGTGCGTGTGCGTGGGGGGGGGAGGTATATACAGGGTGGCATAAAGTTCATGTGCAATTTCAAATAGTAGAACTTTATGACCACCCTGTTATAAATAAATATAGGTTCTGGGTTTAGAGATACCTAGTTTTAAATCATGTCTCTATCATAACCAGGCATGGTGGCATGCCCCTGTGGTCCCAGCTATTAGGGGAGCTGTAAACCAGGAGTGGGAGTTTACAGTGACCTATGAGGCCACCACTGTACTACAGTTCAGGAAACAGAGCAAGTATAAAAAATAAAATACAATTAAATTAAATTAACTATTACCTAAAAAATAGTTACCTAACCTAACTTTAAGATTAGCTACCTCGAAGTACCTACCTTAGATTACCTACCCACTAGAGGTAGATAAACTTGTAATCTTTCTAACCTATAAATGGTGGGTCATGGGACGGACTCCTGGAGGACTCACAGTTGCCTGGCACACGGTAGAAACCAACAGAGTCCCTGTTTCACCCGGTTGGCCTCTGTGTAGAGAGATGAGACTAGAGATCACTGTCAGTGCCTGTGTGTGTGTGTGTGTATCTGTGTGTGGCATCTTCTGTTTCTAAAGCAGAGCTCCCCACAGCCCAAGTCAATCCTCTTGGGGACCTACATGCGCCATTATTAGCTCATCTTACCCACACAACAATTCCAGGGGACAGGGCACTATCGCTTCACTTCACATGAGGAAATTATGGCACATGGAGCTCAAGGAACTTGCCTGAGATCACTCAGGTACTAAACCCCAGACCCAGACTCAAACCTGGGAACTCTGGGGCCAGTGTGGTTGTGCCCAACTCCTGTGTCCTGCAGCCTTCCTGGGTCAGTTCAGCTCTCACAGAGACAATGTGAGATGCAGGGACGCTAGTGCACAGCTGCACACAAAGTGTGAGTCCCATTAGATGGTGTCCTGTCGCCATCAGGATGTCCCAACCAAATGAATCTGAAACTCATAACCATTAAAACAAAAGCATCATGGGCTACTTCAGTTTGGCTGTGGCTCCTCTCAGAGACAGCACCTTAAGGAAAATGCTAACCACTGTCTCAGGGAAAAAAATAGAAATGTGGTATCGGACCATTATTACAATCAACACATAATTTCATAGCCCCATTGCTACACTGTTTCTTACCTTGGACTTTCCAATCAATTGCATCAAATTAAAGTGCACACAGACAAAAGTGGACTTTGCTTTTGTAAATTTATTGTGCTATAATGAAAAGTAAAGCACAGTATTCAAGCAGCAGAGAAAGGTGCTTCAGGAATTGTAACGGGAAGGATTTCAGCAGTGATCTGGCTGCAGGGCACCGAGGGGTGAGGCTGGAGCCTACACTGAGGCTGTGATGACCTAGGTTGGCAGGAGCTGCCAGTGTAAACTGTGGGGAGAGTGGAGCTAAAAGATGGGGGCTCACTGTAGTTACAGAATAAAGTTTCCTGTTTTCCACAGGTTTGAAAAGTGAGCACACAAGACTGACATCATATGGGAACTATTATAACCCAGATCCCGAATGTTAACCCAGCTCGGTGCTCAGCAGACACTTTGGGGGCCAATACACAATGTAGGCAAGATGACCCCTCTGTGCCACCATCTGTAAGGGGCTCTTCCCAGGGCGGCAGACACCTGTCCTTCTGATCACACAGAAGGCGGTGGCCGCAGAGTAGACCACGCTCTTGACCAGCAGCAGGAGGTAGGTGTAGCAGGCAGAGTTGTTTGTGAGCTGCAGCTGCAGCATATCTAGGAGAAGACAGTGAATTAGTTGAGCTGTTCTTTTGGCAGCCGGGACAGAGTAATGGGAGGGGCCCCAGACAGTCTCTGATGCTCTCTCTACACTGCAGTGATATCCCAGCACCACGGAAACCTAAAAGTCAACGTCCATCAACACCAACACCCAGAGCAAGACAGCTCATCAGCGTTCAGCTTGGAGCTGACTAACACCCCTGCTGAGTTCACACAGAACACACCTGAATGTTAAACAGGTTACATTTTTAATGAATGCATGTAATCCTAAATAAAAATATTTGAGATATACATGTTTTAGAACTTCTTCAGTTTCTTCACCCCCACCTGTCTCTAAGTAACAATAATAGATGATATCCATTGACTATTAAGTGCCAAACACTCCTCTGAGAACTGTTGATGTAAAGCTTTAATCTTACACATATTTAATCATTCATTATAATAGCCTCAGAGACAGACAGACATGATGTCCATTCTCCTTTGCAAAGAAAGAAACTGAGGACAGTGAGAGAAGTAATCTGCCTGATAATATATATTTAGCAAATGCCAGAACCCGGATGTCAACCCAAGTAATCAGACTTTGAAGAATGGAAGCTATCTTTATTACTCCATAACTGCAAGTTCCACGAACACCCCAGACACAACAAGCTGGAGCGTAAACATGAAGCTGCATGGCTGACACGGAGCACGCGAGCCCTTCTTCCACACCGTGCATGTGAAGAGAGCTCCAGGGAGGGTGCAACCCCAGAAACTTGGTGGGGTTACAGCAAGATGGGTGGAAGGTTTCGGACAAGAGGGCGGTAGATAAACTGGAGGAAAGTCCTTAATCCAAATTCTCTGAGCTGTTTGGTGGTGGCGGCGGCACATTCACCTGTCCTCCCTAAATACGTCTTACTGTGACTATGATATTATTGGTTAATTACTTTGATATCCTTTCAAGTTGTGTAAGAAGTATATGGTGTCAAGGAGTGAGTCTAGGTGGTCAGGAAGCCACAGGCTGCGTGTCTTTCTCTGGAAATTTCCATTTTATATCCCCAGTATCATAGAATCGGGGCTTTGGAAACACTAGGCCTGGCGTGGAAAATCATGTCAAGAAGTATTGTGCCCATGACTCGCTGTACGTGGTCACATGAAGTGACCCACCTTGCTTAGTGTGACAGGTGAAGTCCAGAGTCAATGCTGGGGGTAGAGGACAGCTGAGCGGTCACTTCCGGTCACATTCTTAGTGAATGTAGGAGGGAAAGGGCCAGAAATCAGGGCTTATTCTGCGCCTGCTCCATGAGATAGCCCGTATCACTTCTGTGCCCTACCGCTTTAATAACTGTGAGCTTGGTGCAATTATTCTCGGTTGGAAGGAGAGTAATTAATTACTCACAAAATGTCAGTCTCTTACCCATATTCATGCCACTAATCAACAATGTTCTAGGGCTAAATTCCACTCTGTGGGCTCTGAAGCCTATGCACCTCCCCAGCCCCAAAGTATATCCAGGTGTATATATATAAAATATAAATATATCCAGGTGCATATATAGAGAGACCGAGTCTCACTTCATCACCCTCAGTAGATTGCCATGGTGTCACAGCTCACAGCAACCTCCAACTCCTGGGCTTAGGCAATCCTCTTGCCTCAGCCTCCCAAGTAGTTGGCACTACAGGCGCCCGCCACAACACCTAGCTATTTTTTTAATTGCAGTTTGGCCGGGGCCGGGTTTGAACCCAGCACCCTTGGTATATGGGGCCAGCACTCTGCCCACTGAGCCACAGGAGCCACCCTATATTTATATTTTTATATATTTACATTTATATCATATCTCTTTATACTTATATTTATATTTTCAGGGCCCGGGCTTTGGAATTTCTCATTACACGACTACATTGCAGAGAAAGAGTAGAGACCTTAATAAATGTAGAGGAACTTCTTTTGATGGCCTGATGTGAAACTCCACACCTAGCTGTGTGACATGCGTAATGGACAATTTTAGCTCACTGCCCTCATCTGTAAGTGGAAGGAAAAAGTATTGTACCACCTCATGGGAGAATTATAAGGATTAAACAAGAAAATTAATGCAGAATACAGCCCATGGCCTTCTGTAAAAAGCACTTGGCAAGTCACTAAGTAGTAGTTCATTTGCTACCTGCTAGAAAATTCTAACGACTTAAAAAAAAAAAACAAACCAAAAATCTAGAAGCAAGTTGGTATGTTTTCTGTAGAAACTTAGAAAAAATGAGACACAAATGAGTGAAATCTGCAATCTGTTTAGTAAAATCGTTCAGAGCATGTCACTGTGCCCTCTAATTCACAGGCATCTCAGACCCACACTGGTAGGTTTCTGTGCTAATCTGACTCCTAGGAAATGATGGATGAATATCAAATATCATACTCAGTCTACTCTGCAACACCCAGCGGTTCTGATTTTTCATGCCTGAATGTTCAAATGTTAAGAAGATCAGGAGGAAGAAAGGAACACAAAAACTTACCTTTTTCATGTTCATCTTTCACACAAGGAATGGAAGCGACAACTAGAAGAAATGAGAGCAAGGTAATTGTTCATTCCCGTTCCCTCACAGGCTGCATCTGTGTACTGGTGTGGGTTATATATACGTACGTGTCTATAATACCTATATATATGTACATCCATACATCTGTATCTATCGCTCTGTGTGTGTATATAGAGATATGTAATATGATATATATATATATAAAATCTGTCAATAGGAGGACATCCATGTTGCCATTGGAAAATGAGGTTTAAAGAGTGTGGGTAACTTACCACAAGTCATACTAGTCAATGGCAGAGCCAGGGTTCAAAAGCTAATTGTGAGGGGCTAAAAGAAATAAGATATGTGGGAAGTAATTTGTAAAAATGATCCACAGTCATAGACAGAAAATGAGTTACAGAGAGATAATATCATTCCACCATTGTGTTCTAAGAAATTCTCTTCTAGTGTCCTCATTCTTCTCAGCAAATGGCCTGTTTTATGATGGGAGCCCAGCATTGCAGGGCAATTCTTTCTGGGAATAGAAAGATAGTTCTGTGAATAAAATCTGAGGTGAAACTTGAATTTATCTGATGTTAAAGAAAAATTTTAACATATATACAAACACATAATTTTTTCAGAACAAAAGAAATTAGAGTCTCGATGGTTGTTTTGGTTTATTCTTTTCCTACTAGATGTATTTCTTTTCTTTTCTTTCTTTCTTTCTTTTTTTTTTTTTTTGAGACAGAGTCTCACTATGTCACCCTTTGTAAAGTGCTTCGGCATCACAGCTCACAGCAACCTCAAACTCTTGGGCTTAAGTGATTCTCTTGCCTCAGCCTCCCAAGTAGATGGGACTTCAGGCATTTGCTACAATGCCTGGCTGTTGTTATAGTTGCCATTGTTTAGCAGGCCTGGATGATTTGAACTTACCAGCCCCAGTGTATATGGCTGGCACCCTAACTGCTGAGCTGCAGACACCAAGCCACACTAGATGTGCTCTTGTCCATGTAGATACAATTCTGCTATGCAATGTTCTGACTCAACTTTCAATAAGATTTTTTTGGTGTACTCTATAAATGAATTTAAGGTATTGGTTTGGGAGAAGTCCTACAAAAGGAAATTATTGGACATTCAAATATCTTCACAACTCACCCTAATAGGTCTTAAAATTTTCCCCCAACCCCCATGGTTACATTATTCATTACAAGATCATTGAAAGTCACTTATCTCCATGATTTGATTGAGGTAAAAAGAATAAAGTAACAAAATAATAATAAAATGTATATGTGCTTCCTAAAATCTCTCTACCAATCAAGACTGAAGCAGATTAATCACAAACATGGAGCAGATTAATTTTATCTTCTTTCAGAATCACCTCACTGCGTATATAACATGGTCACTTCCATACTCTATTTTTAGCATTTATCAGAAAACAAAATTCTTCCCGGAGACAGCATTAGAAATCTGCTGTAGATTACATTAACAAAAAGTCCTGCTAGGTCAGATGCCATGAGGCCACTTGAAAGAGTCACGTATTCATTTTAGAATTTAGTGCCAAGGAAAACACATGCCGAAACTGGAACTTCTCTCATGTGTAATATTCCTTTCCCCAGAACCCTGGATGGATGGTGCTTTTTGATTTACTGGGTGGACAAATCAGAACCTCCTTGGACACTTAGGCACATTGTTTACCTGAATTTGGCACTTTGCAGATTTGCCTCCTCTTGGCTGCTTTACAGTCAAAACAGAAAATCAAGGTTGTTTTCTGTAATCTTTAGCTAAATTAAGGAGATGGTGTCAATGAACCCAGTGAATACAGGGATGAACACGCCATGCTGTATTTCTGGAAGCCAGTATTTTCGTCACATGGTTTCCTTTGCTCTGTCTCAAGTCCCAGCAGAAAGTCAAGGTAAGAACAATTCAAACTGCATTTGAACATTGCAAAAAACTGAGTATCCGAGAGAGTAAAGACTTACTTGAGAAATCTGGACTGGGGCAAAGCAAAGGTGTTTCCACGTTTTGTTATGTGCTTGTTCCTAACTGGTTGAAAGGGGCTTGTTAACCACAGGAAAAAGTACAAAACAAGTTCTGCTTAGGGCCACTGTGGGCAATTTGAACTGCAAGTTCATACTCAGGGCGCTGACACACAGCAAGGGACGGGACCACCAGGCGGGGGCACTCTCAGCCCACCTGTCTGGATGCGCACAGCAGCTGCATCCAAGGGGCTCCTTAGGGGTATCAGGGCTGAATCATGGGTGGTTAGGGAGACAGTACAGTCTCTTCACTGTGAGGCATCCTCCTGGGACAGCAACTCATCCTGGTCTATTCCTCCACGTTTCTGCCAAGCCTGGCCTACGCTAGGAGCACAGAAACAGCCACAGGGCTGCGTTCACCAAGGGTGGGAAACACGTTCATTTCGGAGAATGGAAGTTTGTGCGCGGTAGCCACAGCCGTCCTTAATGATGAAAATTCACCTTATGGGCTTATATAAAACAAAAATCAGGGAAACCCAAGGTCGTAAAAACTGCAGCAGCCAAGGTTATTCTGTTTTATGCTCTGGCTTCTACAGGCAAACATAATTTTGTCTATTATGAACCCACTGTCTGTAGGTTAAGCTTTATATATAGCAAGATTGAAGTGAGTGACTTTGCTTGCCTATAGAACATTCCTGAAAGATGTGTAATTTTCCTTATTTGCCACTTAAGTAAGATCATTAGAAACAGGCACAATTTTGGAGCATTTACTGGGTCCTAGGGTACTGGGTGCTGTTTCATATAATGCTCCTAAAATATACATGTAAATTTAATATTTTAGATGATAAAACTGAGGCTAGAAAGCTTAAGTAAATGTTTCATTTTTTTTTTCTTTAAATACCATACCATGTCAATTCTACAGGGAAGTAGCAGGACAGTTATGCCACCATTAGGTGTCTCAACACTGCAGAAACATTTATATTTGTTTTTCAGTAAGACGGACAGAATAGGTGGGGGGTTCCTTTCAGGTAAGTATTCGGGGAGGTGCGTTTCTGTTCACACGCACATACCTGTCTTCATTGGAGGAAAGAGAATCTCCTGGTCAGCTCCATTATAACTCTCATGTTTGACGACACACTGGTGCTCTCTATGCAATGACTTTTCAGGCACAGTCAGCCAGCTGAGCGTCATGTATGTGTCACCGGTCTTCCTGATATCTCCCTGCTGGGATGCCAGGAGACTATTGCTGTTCTTCTGCTTCCAATATATGTTAATAACATCAGGGAAAAAGTTCTCAAAAAGACACAGACATGTCCCAGCCTTATGGAGATTTCTTTCAGCAGGTGAAGGAAGAAAAATAGTGGGCTTGGGGCGACAGCTGCACCCAGGTTTTTATCTGTGAGGGGAAATGGAATATCAGATAAAAAGGAATATTACAAACATGTACGAAAAGATGCCATTAAATTAGTTCCTCCTATGTCCTTTCACCTTCAATAAATTGCAGTTTTATTACCGGATTTATTTAACAAATGTGAAAATAGGATTAAGAAATAAAGTAACTTGTTAGAAGTCACACCCCTTAAGTGTCAGGTCCTAGACTCAATCCTGGCCTTTGTTCTCTCTGCACCTGCTGTGACTGCCTCCTACCAAGGCTTCCAACATCCACTAATTTGTTGAAATCTCTTTTGTTTCATCACAGTTGGGTGTAATTTCCAGGTGGATGGCAGAGGGAGAGGGGAGGAGACCAGGTCACTTTAAAGATCTCTCTCCAGATGAGAATCTGGTCCCATGTAAAGTGCTCTCTTTCCCATCCCTTGTAAGTTACGTTCCCTTTTGCCAATAACACACATTCTTATGTTCTGCAATTCTATGTAGCTCCACTCTTCATTTAACCGGTTCTGGGACATACTACATTTATTTCTCATATGAGTTAATGTCAAGAGAAAGTTTTCCACTTTTTATAACACTGCAGAATCATTTGTTTTAATGGGAATCTACATCCATGTGTAATTATGATCTATCAAGTTGACTACTGAGCTTCACATGTGTGTCCCATGACCAGTTCTGAAGTCCCTGGAGTTCTCTTAGTTAATTTCTAACCTGAAATAACATTTCACTCTCACATCTGCATCACTCCAGGTTTGGGAGTGAGCAGTATTTAAAGCAGCACTTCCAAATGATTTACGATGTCTCAAATTCAGAAGCAAAACTTTCTCAATCTTCTATTAAAAAATTTATTATTTTCAGAAATGCTCTTGTGTTTTCTTATCAAGTAATGCACTTTTCAAAGTTTTGTTTTGCTTCAGAAAATGTTCACCAAAAGCATAATGTATTTTGGAATTTCATTTAAACTTTGAGCATGACTAAGATTATAGTAGGGGTGTATTTTCTATACGTGCTATACACGCGAGTATGAATTTATACTTTGAGTGAGATGATCTATGCGGATCAGCAAATCCATATTCTGACTCTCAGTGTCCCTTCCAGACTTTGTATCTATCCTGCATTCTATTTAACTGCTTGGAGTGCCATTACTCTCTTCATTCTAACCTGCTGAATAAAGTGTATGTGTAATAGTGTAATGTTACAAGACGTGGTTTCAGAGTTAACTGCAAACAATCTGCCAGAACATCTCACAAAGCATCCTATGTTTCCATCCTATGTTTACGAAGTCGTAGCACTCAAATCTGGGTTGTTAATGGATTATACAATTATTTTAAACTAATATATGAAATTATAAATGTTTAAATTATTTCTAATTTTATTTCCAATTAAAGCTCAAATGCTTTGGGCTAGTTTGAAATTAGTTAGATAACACAAGAGGCAATTTCTTAAGAAACAAATAATTAGATGTTTAATTTGAGAAGGAAAAAACTTCTCAAAAACCATAGAAGGTTTATGTCTATGTAGCAAAGCTTGTGGTTTTTATACAAAATCAGTAAACATATATGGTAATATTAAATTTTTGAGCATGCTGTAAATATTATTGGGTCATAATATGCTTATTTTAATTTCATACATTCTACTTAGTATAAATAGTATTTTAATTTTTACAGTAGTAAGAAAGCATATATTTCTCCAACCACATACTTAGTTTTTAATTTTAGAAAGCATGTTATAAAAGATAAGATTAATTTCACTTGCAATTACACATTGTGTTGATGAAATTTAGCCTCTAGTCAATATATTAACAAATCTAACTTGTATCATAGCCACTTGTGTTTTTTGATGGGAATATTTTTGATTCATTGTAATAAAGAAATTTAAAATCAAATGTTAAACATGGAAATTTTCTGTGCGGTGCCACAGAGTTTATTTATTTATTTATCTATTGCAGTTTTTTGGCCAGGGCTGGGGTTTGAACCCACCACCCTCAGCATATGGGGCCAGTGCCCTAGTCCTTAAGCCACAGGTGCCACCCCCTCCACAGAGTTTATTGTCTCTTCTGCATTTCCCTCAGCTAGATTCTTTAATTCTTTTTTTTTTGAGATATAGTCTCAAGCTGTCGCCCTGGGTAGAGTGCTATGGCGTCACAGCTCACAGCAACCTCCAACTCTTGGGCTCAAGCTATCCTCTTGCCTCAGTTTTTCTATGTTTAGTAGAGAAAGGGTCTCACTTTTGCTCAGGCTGGTCTTGAACCATGAGCTCAAGCTATATACCTGCCTTAGCCTCCCAGAGGGCTAGGAGGAGTCTTTAAATCAGCTTTTAGTATAAAATGAATATTGAGCTTTTATAACTTTCTCAATGTCACAGTTAAGTAGTCACTACACAGCATACTTGATTACATATAGCTAATGCTTAGATCATTATATTGCATGATTTGTAAGACATTACTTTTAAAATATACTTATTAAAAATGGTTTTCATGGTGGAAATTTTCTTCATAATGCACAGAATGGCAACTATTCTATTTATTTGAAAAATGAAGAGAATTCATATGTTTTATTCATTTAAAAATATGAATCTTTCCAATTTATTTGCGTACATTCCTTTACATAATCAAATGGTATGTTTGAGTTAAATTTCCTAAGTTCTTTGTATTTCATTAGAATGAGTAGTATGAATTCCATTTATATTTATGATATTTCAACTACTATTTCAATTGAAATTGTAATATTTTCAAAACATGTATGAGTCAGTATGCATGCTCTATTTCTTGGTTTTTTCCTCTCATCAAATATGTATAGCTATTCAGTATTTAAGTATGTGTTTCTTGTTTATGATAAGTTTCTAACTATATTTAATTGATTGTAAATATTATCAATTCTCATATGAATTTAAACATTTTTCTGGTAAATATGACCAGACACCTAAACTTTAATTTAACTTTAAATTTTAGAACTAGTTAATATTGTTGTGGGGCATGTTATTAAGACAAAGGATTAAGACTTAAAGTACATTAGAACAACAGAAATAAAAATATAAACATTTTAATGTAAAATTTTCTTGTCAAGTCAGGAAAAACTCTGCTAAAGAGAAACCAATACGTACCTCTAAATTTCTATTTCTTTCACTTTTTTTTTTTTTTTTTGGTAGAGATGAGGTTTAGCTAAGGACTAGACTAGTCTTGAACTCCTAGCCTCAAGCAATCCTCCTACCTCAGCCTCCTAAAGTGCTAGGATTACAAGCATGAGCCACCACTCTCTGCCTAACTTTCATTTTTTTGTACGTGAGTGGATATTAAGATAACCTTCCATCTGAGCAAGCAGAAGTAGACTTGGATGCTCTGGAGAACTTCTGCTCCATAAATGTAACTGGCTGAGAACTGTTATCTGTAGTGAATATTCAATACAATTCTCTTTTGACATTTGAAACTGGAGAACATTTATTAGGCACCCACTATGTGCTGAACAATGTGCCTCCTTATGCATGGTATCTCACTTGATTCTCATACAACTCTGCTGCGTTCATGCTGTTAATCCTGTTATCCCATTTTATGGATTGGAAACTGAGACTGGAGACTAATAATCCCAGTTCACTAAGTGGTAAGTGGTGGAGCTGGAGTACCAGGTCTGCTTGATGTCAGCATCCAGCCCTTTTCATGACTCTTCTGACCAACAGAGAAGGGCACATGTCCAACCTTTTGCGTCTATCCCTAACTTACCTTTAATAATAAACCTTGACCTGGGATCAAATACTTCAATGATATCATCACATACCTTGTGTGTGAGTATGCTATAGAGTCCTCAAGTACATAAAGCCAAGTCCTATTTATTACAATATTTGCACAATGTTTTATGTTTTCTTAAGCAGAAGCATTTGCTTTAAAACCTCTCCCAAGATTTCTAGATCAAATGTCCATCACATCCCACTTTTTCCTAAATACTCTATTATTCCAATTAATCGTTATTTACCTCCCATCTATCACCTTAGAAACATATATTCTTCTGATACCCACCTGTGAGAACAAGTTTTGTTCCACTGCCGAAGACTATCTTGTATTCATTCCACAGTGATTCATTCCATATCAAAAACTTAAGACTAATTGAGTTTCCTTGAGTTCTTCAAATTCTAGTGCCAATATGATGGCCTGGGAGTCTCAAGTGACCATGGTCCTCCTGGTCCTGGATCACTTTGCTTGTAACAAGTTCTATGCCTGAGAAAATCAAACAACTTAAAGTTTATGGTGTTTTAATTATCTAAAAAGATCTGGTGTGTGGAAAGAAAGGAAAACTCAGACACCGTTGGGGGGACTGCAAGCTAGTACAACCTCTGTGGAAAGCAATATGGGGATACCACAAAGGGCTGAAAGTAGAACCACCCTTAATCCTAGAATCCCTCCACTAGGTGTTTGCCCAAGGGAAAATAAGACATTTTATAAAGAAGAGGCTCACAGTCAAATGTTTATAGAAACACAATTCACAATTGCAAAGATGTGGAAACAACCCAAGTGCCCATCAATACTACTCAGCTATGAAAAGATGGTGATCTAATGTCTTTTGTAACAACTGGATGGAAGAAAACCATTCTTCCAAGTGAAGTATGGCGAGAATGGGAAAACAAACACCACTTGTACTCAGTGCTAAATCGGACCAGTTGATCAACACTTATGTTGCACACAGCGAAGTAAAACTCAATGGAATTCAAGTTGGTGGGAGCAGGGAAGAGGGGATGGGTAAATTTATACCTAACGGGTATAGTGAGCACTTTCTGGGCGAGGGGCACACTTATGACTCTCACTTAAAATATACAAAAGCAAACTATGTAACCAAAATGTGTATACCTCTGTAATATTCTGAAATTTTAAAAAATTATCTAAACAAAATCATGTGCATGTAAACCAATTCAACATCACTACCACTGTTGAAGTGAGACTAAAATGAAACAAGATACAAAAAGCAGGGCAGTGCCTGTGGCTCAAGGAGTAGGGCACCAGCTTCATATACTGGAGGTGGTGGGTTTAAACCCAGTCCTGGCCAAAAACTGCAAAAAAAAAAAAAAAATATATATATATATACATACATATATATATATAGCAATTAGATTGAAAATGATATAGAAATATAGGAGGTTATCAGGTTATCATTATCATTGTTACCATTAGCAAATTATTTGCTATAATTGTGTTTCAACATCACACCTTAAGCTCATAGGCCCAAACCTCTTACTAATAGAAACTCAGCACTTCAGAGGAGCAGTTAGATCCATGGCAATTAATTAATCATTTCCCTATTCCTCTATTTTCTTTCCATATTGCTCTAACTTCCCAAGAAGTTGCACATCCTCCCCAGAAGATGTGCTTTTCACACACTGAGACTTACTAGGCTATCATTTGCCTTATCTGCCTTGTTAAGACAATTAAAGGAGCACCCTTTAAAGTCTAACACCCTTTATCAGTGCGTGGAAATGCTTCCCTTGTGTTGTCCAAAACGTGGCTTTTTTCCTAATCAACAGCACAAAATATTTACGTTCCAAGATTTCACTAGAAATTTCAACCCAAACTTATTTCTATCCAGCTCATGACAAAGTCCAGTTTGAAATGTCTGACTGTGCCCTTCCAGAAAGAATGGCCAGAAAAATAGCAGGAGACCCAGTCATCAAATCCATCTTCCTTAGATCACTGAATGCTATCTGCCTGACCCTATCTGATGAGTGTCCCCGTCTGTTTATGACATTAAATGCTACAGTGCCCATAGCACTCATAGTACCCACAGGTACTATATAATAGATTTGTTTAAAAACATTTCTTTCATTTTCCAAAATAGATGCTGAAGGCAATGTCCACTTTTCATTTTCCTCCTAAAAACTTCATACATTAAAGTCTTTTTCCAACATTACAATGGGGAAAAAATATCAAATTTGAAAATTTGTTGTGCTTCTTTTTATCAGTTAATAAAAAATACATATTCCACTACCTTTTTATCCTTCCTTGAAGCAAAAACTTTTACCTTGTGCTGCTTGCTGGATGACCACAGGACAGGCCTTTCTTCCTCTCCTTCCCTTAGAGCTTTTGATCTCCCATTGTGATTTAGTGGTTTAATGATATTTGTATTTTTTATTTTAGGTCTTCTCAAATAGATTTTAAAATTAGACAGCTTAAACAAACAATGTGCCTTATGGCAAGTTCCCCTTTCATCCCAAGAGGTTGATTGTTCTGAGAAGTCCAGCTCAAATAAGACACAGATGGAGAACAGCATTACAAACCCCAGCTCTAGGGTGGAGATACAGACTCGCCAATTTCAACAGGCTGCAAGTCCCAGAGTGTAGGATGAGGCTTTCTTCCCTCAGGATACAGGGATTGCCTTGTGGTACAATCTCTGTAACATCTCATAGTAATAGAAGCCCTTCCACCCCTCAACTTTGATCCAAAATACTATATGGACAAGATGCTGACATGAAATGAATTCAGGTAATTCTGTTTTGGAGATAGAACTGGTAAAAGAAAAAAGGAATGAAGCTTAGAATCAGTTTGGTAATTATTACTTAGGGCTCAGATCTCTGCAGTTTATAATCACTTTACACCTACATAGAACAACAGAATAAATGAAAAATTGATTTCCTTTTATTTTGGGAGTGGATATTTTTTTCCTGGGATAACATATTCAGGGACACCATCATACAGGGATTCCAGAGTAGGCACTCAGACCTCAGGTAACTTAGAAAGTTGCTCTAAGCCAAATGTTTCAGATGCATGAGAAGAATCTGAACAAAATTATAATAAAATACAAAGGCAAAAAAGCCATATGTCTCAATTTATATTTATGTTGATATAATTTTTAACTTTGTAGGTACAATCCAATTATGATATAAAATATTATAAGCAGTTTTTTGCCATATTAGTCTGTATTTCTGTAAGTTGATTTATTCATGTGGGAGAACAAAAATCTTTTTTAACCTTCTGGAAATTTCTACTGGAAAACGAGGGATCACCTTGGATTCAGGTAGATACTATTTGACATAATACATAAAATGTCTTAATTATTTTAGAAGTCATAGGAATAGAAAGGATTTTGCAAATAGTTACGTTTTTTTCTGAAGTGAGATGTAGATTAGATGGTGGTTAATATACTTATCTATATTCATGAACTTATAAAGAACTCTAATGGGTACTATTTTGAACTCTTGCCATTATGGTAGGTAATTTCCATATTTAATTTTATTTAATTCTTACAACACCCATTTGAGATAGACAACCTTCATTGTACAGATCAATGAGAAATCATAAATTTCCATATTTGCTCAGTTGTTGACTAGTAATAGGGACATTTGAAAAGAATGTTCATGAAAGAGTAAGAACTCAAAAAAAGCCAGATCTGTTATCAATTTACTATGATTTCAACCTTATAAAACAAAAATACAGTATGAGAAGATGAAATGAATAAATAAAAATATAATAAAATGATAATGATGATGACTGTCCACAATACTTTTTAATTTTTGTGCATTTTCCCCTTTCTCATACAATGAGCTAACATTTTTGTAATTTGTATAAAGCATCATTTGGATACAAAAAGAACTTGCTAAAGGACAGTCACATGGAAATTGAGCCCCAGGAGTCAAATTCCTGAATCCAAGTCCCTGCCTTTGCTGCACCATACTTTCCTTAAATCACCTTTCAGAGAACTTTTGTGTAGTATCTTTGTCACCATTATATAATGGCTTTGCACAATTCACACTGAGTCAATTGGAATAAAGAGGATCAGAAAGTCACCTTTAATGTATGAGTTAATTTCAAACAATCTCCACCACCAAGGAAAACAAAATAAATACTCTCTTTCATTTTTTCCAATGTTTTCTTACCTTCATGAAAATTCTCTGAAGACTTTCATCTCAGTGGATCTGCTGGGCTAGAGAAGCTTTGTGTGGCCTGCTTCCTCATCTTAGCAAAACTGCCACTCTAATGCTGAGGAGGAGTAGACAACAGACAGCACGTGTCATCCTTGAACGTGGCCATGCCGTGAAATATGCTGACATTTGATGTTAATCATGCTGTGACCAAATCGTTTTTTAATCCTTTTTAACCAAGTGACCAGGTTAGCAGATTTTTTTTTCACTTTTATCCATTGGTTAGATATAGAATTGAACAAGTGAAATATCTAGCCTAACCGTGTTTACGAAACCTCCAACATAGAGACATAAATGGGATGCAAATTCCCCCTCCTTTAAGGATCTGCAGTGACTCTAAGCTCCTTGTTAAGGTCCAGACTAGGAAGATTCTGGGTTCCTTAGGCCTGAACTGAGTCAGCCCATCTCCCTGGAGATCCTATATGATTAGTGACCAAGCCAGGAGGGACCTCTGAGCCAATATCCACTTGTCCGCCTCCCTTCCTACCCTACACTGCAAAATAAAGAAAACACACCTGTGATGATGAGCTTTGTGCTAGGGCCAAAGTTCTTCATACACTGCCATCCCTACACCCAGCACCCAAAAAGACTGTATAAAAATCCCTCTTTGGGCTTGTTTTTCTGTACATATATAAATATATAAAAATTGGCCCTGATGGCATTAATCCAAAATATAGCTCAAACAAAGTCACAGTAGATATGAACATAATCAGGAATTTAAGAACAAACTCTATTCTGGGAATCCTGGATTCTATCTCTTCTCCCGACAGGTATGTTCAAGGGTCAGATTTTATCTTTTCTCATGATTTTGCCCAAATATTCTAAAGCTGCTCCCTTAGATGATTTTCCACATGAATTAAGTTCTTTGTCTAGAGTGTAATTTATGGTAAATTAATATTTCCTTAATTTTTGAGAAGAAACATTAAGATTCTTATGTTTAAACAAGTGCCCATCGACCCACAAATGGATCAATAAATTGTGGTATATGTACATCATGGAATACTATGCAGCCCTAAAGAAGGATGGAGACTTTACCTCCTTCATGTTTACATGGATGAAGCTGATAGCAAAGTATCTCAAGAATGGAAGAAAAAGTATCCAGTGTACTCAGCCCTACTATAAAACTAATTTATAGCTTTCATAGGAAAGCTATAACCCAATTA